CCTGTAAAGGTACTGCGCACGCCATGGTAGTGAGCTGGTATAGCAGCCTGGAGCATTTGGGAATAAGGAGAATGGATTCCATGGTCCACTGCAGTCTTTCTGAGCTCTCAGAGGAGGTCCCATCACAAGATGATTCCAGGTTTTCATAACACTGACTCTTGGAAGGGAAGAGGATACTGACCTAGTGCAGCTGTTTAGTTTTCCCTTACATCAAACTGACTCACCCTGCTCTGATACAGCTCACAATTTTCTCTTAATTGGGAAAATCACTAGGATAGTACTCACTGCCAGTATTCTGGGTCATAAAGTCATTCTCTGACTCAGAAGAAGGTTTACAACAGCTATGGCAGTGATATGCACTGCAGGTGAGTCATGTTGACCTGGCATAGACAGGTAGAAGAATTATAAAAGAAAGGCCTTATGAAATCAGGCCTCACTCTGCTAAAATTGCCAAAGCTGGCCTGTCATTTCTTCTAAGTGTAGCTAACAAGCAATTTGCAAGTTCCCATGTGAAGCTGTTTTGAGAAGTTTTTTTAACACAACAATCCATTCTGAGGGTGAAAAAGAAATGCAACTATGTAAACAATACTATTTGTCCCATGAGAACCCACAAAGGAAAAATGTAAATGTATCTAGAGAGAGAAAATTTGATAGGCATATACAATAGCCCTTACTGACCAATGAACTGAGTTTCACTGTATTGCCGACCAATTAGGTTTAACACAGTGAATTCTAATATTTCCTACAAATATGAGCTTTGTGAATAAAGAATTGGCTTTCTGCATGAAGAAAATGGATTCTCGGCTGATTTATTCCAACATGTGGTGGCCCCAAAGACACGATCGGTGTGAATTTAACACGAAGAAAAGAAACTATGGAAATACACTTTTACCATCTCACACAACTCCAGCTAGAGGTGTCTACAGATACAGCATCTCCAAAGTGTCTGGTTTGTAGTTTTTAACACATGCTGCACTAAGACAAGCCAGGATTAAGACAATGAAAATCTTGCTGGATATTCTCCTTGCTTTCTTCCCCATGCTTCCTCTTGATTTGTGAAATTTCATTTTCCAGCTGCACAATAGTTTGTTCAATCTCATAATTTTTATTGACAAGAGAGACCCACGCGGATTCCATCTCTCGCAGCTTAGCCCCAGCTGTGAGCTCATGTTCTTCCTCTCCCAGTTCAGGTCTTGAATGTTTTTCCACAATTTCTGCAGCTATTTCTGGGCTTGTTCTATCATATGAACCAGGTGCTCGTTGTACACCATCCAGGCGTTGCAGCCGTGCTGCAATATGAGCTCCAGGTTCTTGATGCACACGGCCTGGTGCTCCAGCTGTGCCATGGAATTGTTCACACACTCCTGCCACGCCGTGATGTTGTTCTTCTGCCCAGAGGACGGGGCAGGCAGCTCGTACCTCTTCATACTGAGTAGTTCCAGGGGCTGCTGGGCCACCAAGCGCTGGAACTCGTTCCACACGATCTCGGTCTCGAAGGCACCGTAGGCACCTGTGTGTGGGCAGGTAGCTGAGGTAGTTCTTGGTTGGCCGGTACCACCACATCCTCCACCAGCACTGCAGCTGCCTCCCGGTACCACCACGTCTTCTTCTCCACCACCATTGTGGCTGCCTCTCGGTACCACCACATCTTCTCCTCCACCAGCACCATGGCTGCCCGGCGCCTCGTATCCCTGGCCAAAGCAGGGCAGCGCATCCACCACCACATCCTGGCCACTAGCCCCGGGCATGACATCTTGGCCACGGCTGTGCGCACTCACGTCTCACCCAGCGGGACCACACACGGTTCCACTCCCCTGTGCGCCTGCAGCTCTCCTCTTCTCCCTGAATTATTTGCAGCAATTAATTTTAAGTACTTAACTAAGTCCTATAGCCTTGAATTTTATCTGCAGCAGTTCTTTAAAGTTTAGAAATATTTAGCTCACGAAAAAGGTTTTACTGCTGAAGCAGACAAAGTCAGAATACAGCCTGACACCCTGTGGGTCAGAGATTTGGTAGCAGTCTGAATAAATGGTGGCTGCAGTCTTCCTGGAGCGACAAATGTGGTTCTGTTGAAGCAGTGATCCTGCAGAAGGGCGTAGTTTTCCTCTGAAGGTCCAGTGGTGGTGGTGTAGAAGAGTCTGGTCTTCCTCTGGGAATCCAGCGAAAAAAAGCTCCCTGGCGTTCCAAATCTCAGCATCTATCCAGGTAGGAATGCTTGGCTCCTCCCCTGGGTGGAGTATCTCACAATGGGATGATGTAATTTTATCAATCATGCAGTGAGACTCAGCGGCCCATTTACAGCAGATATCTCCTGGAGGGAGGATGGGTTGTGGAGGAGATGTAGAACACTGCCCCACCTGGCTTTAGCAGATGGTGATAGAATATGTCCTTCTGGTTACATCTTGCATTGCAATCTAAGACAGTTAAATATTACGTTTCTACATTGTATGATATATAGTCATTTTCTTTTAAGAGATAAGATGACTTGGACTAAAACTGCTGTGATGAAACACTGATAAACACCTGCTTGTGGGTAAAGAGGATACAGTGTGTTCACCCTTGATTTTGTCAAAGATTTTATTGCTCCTTATAATCTCTGCTGTTTTATCTTCCATAGATAACACAGAAGAGTCAGTTATGATTCTACATTATGCCTGTTACTGATTGTAAGCTGTTTTAGTTTTCCTTTGTTTCATTTTGCTGTCATAGGTACATGGCTTTTTAGAGTGTGTCCTAAAGGTGTCCTAAAATGGTAACCACTGATATATTGATTACATGTTGTAAATTTACTGATTTTATAATAAGGCATTATTCATAAGATGTTATTACTGTATTTATAGCGGGCTTCTTATATGCTTTAACATCTCTGTGTAATTACCTAAAACATGTGTAATTTCAGGATCCTTCTTTTTTGTTCTCTAGCTGCTTATGCATCTCTTAGACAAAATATGTAAAGGATTGCACTGCCTTATCTTATAATGGTACATCTATTGTCCTATAACAAAAGATTTGACAATGCTTTATTGTCCACTCAGTTTTCAGGAACACAAAATTTAAAAAATGAAGTTCCTAAGACACTTCTCTCCACAGAAATCAAAAGCAGCTTTTTTTTTAAATTCAGAGGCTAAAGTTTTAGCTGATATAGATTTTCTGGCAGGCATTAAATTTGTGGAGGCATACTGGTTTAAAACAGCTCAGAATGTGATTCTAGATTAATGGGACAAAACCCCATGTTTATTGATTATGTAACTGCAAATGCAGATATGTCTCAAGTGCAGCATGCAATGTATGTACCAGCATATAACAAAATTTTCCATGCATATTCAGAAGTAGAAAATGTTCAATTTCAATTGTATGATATTTAAATAAATAAATACTTCGGTTGTTCAAATCAAGAATTCCAGTGAATAAAGTCAAGAAAATACATAAAATATTAGTTAAAGGAAGTACTGATTTTCAGTGAATGGATAGAGACAAAACCCCTTACTTTATAGGCCCCCCACTACCTGAACATTTAATTCTTTGTGCAGTAAGGCTACTAAAACTAACACCACAAACCAAACTTAACAATAGTCATGCCAAAGCACTGGGACAGCCTCTGGTCTCCAGCCAGAGATTGTGAAGTGTGTGCCTAACAAGTCACAAGCATTTTTGGGACAACTGATCTGACAGAAAAAAGTATTACAAGGCTATCCCACAGTACCAACTAATCACTGGGAACACCAAGTGGGTTTTAAATTGTTTCCTCCCTCCTATTACTTCTGGACAGTAGTCCTAGTTCAGGTATTAGGTGCTGACTTTTTATGAGTGCAAAATGAATTGCCTTTGGTGGATCGAAGTGGGTTTACAGATAAGGAACTAACCAGTTGCTGAGGCATCTCTAAGGCTACAGTCGTGTCTTCGGCTCGAGAAGGCATTAACCTTCCACCTTCTGCCCTGTGGGCAGAAACCCAGCAGAGGCGTCGCAGTGTCTTCAGGCGGCCTCTGAGCCCGCTCTGAGCAGAGATGCCGGGGGTGCCGCTGGCAGTCAGCGGCCGCCGGCTCCCCTCTCTCAGGCGCCCACAGCGGGGCCGGGGGGGGCTGCCCTCCCCGCGGGGCCCGGGGGGGGCTGCCCTCACCGCGGGGCCCGGGGGGGGCTGCCCTCACCGCGGGGCCCGGGGGGGGCTGCCCTCACCGCGGGGCCGACCTGCCGAGCCCGCCGCCCCCGGGCATCACTGCGGCAGCGGCCCCGGCGCTCCCGGGGGCCGGGCCGGCTGCTCCCGCTCGCTGCCTGACTGTTTCATTCATGCTTTCTCCTTCGCCATCTCCCTCTCCGACTGAAGGGAAACGGGAGCGCGCGTGGGCGGCCGCTGGAAGGCTCCCTGTCAGTCAAGCGGCCGAGCTGAAAAGAAGGCGAGCGAGGGAGAAGGAGGCAGAACAGCTTTCCCGGGGGAGGGGGCGGCTGTTGTCGGCTGCCAGCCTCGCAGCCCTTCCCGGGGGCATCTGCAGAGACGGGGTTGGGGGTAAGGCGGGAGCGGTGTTGCACCACAGACCATCCCGCTGGGGGGGAAGCGGCTGTTTCCTGCCGTTCGTCACCTGTCCGTCGTCCCCCCGCGCCCCCCCCTCCCCACACACGCATCCAGCGGCGACAGCGGCCGCCCTATCTGGGCCCAGGGTCCGTACCCCCGGCGCTGTGGGGGCTGCCCGTACGTGTCTGCCGGGGCAGCGGAGGGGGGCGAGCCCGGGGGGTGTCAGTGGTGGGGGGTACGTGAGGCAGCGTGTCCCCTCAGCTTTCCGCAGGACCGCGGAACTTCCTCAGGCTGAGGGGCGCTCCGTAGTGCCGGCACCAACCGCAGCGCCAGGAGGCTTTCCAGGGGAGGCTCGGGGCAAGTTGCACGCTTTCGGGCCGGGGGGCGGCCCCGTAGCGACTGAGGTGGGCTGGCGCTCGGTACCGGCAGGGGAGGGGAGCGCGCGGCTGCCGACGGCGGGAGCGGGGCTCGGCGGGGGAGAGCCCGCTGTCCCCAGCGTGCCGCAGCGCTGCCTTTGTGCTCCCTCCGCACCTGAGCGCCGGGCTGGGAGGGACGGCGCAGGTGGAGGCGGGCACGGCAGCAGCTGCGGCGCATCCCCGGAGCCGGGGCGGGGAGGTAAGGCGAGGCTGTGCCGTGCTGCGGCGGCGGCTCCCGGGGCTGCGGGGGGCGGCTGCACGCCGGGGGCTGAGCCTCCGGCCGGCGGCGGGGGCGGCGGGTAGAGCACGTCCTTTGCTTGGCTTTTCCTGCAGCCGGTTTCCCGTTTCGTCCTGCTGCACGCAGAGAGATGCAACAGCGGCAGCCCGGTCCCCTGGGGAAGGACGGGGCTTGGAGGTGGGCGAGTGGCATCAGCCCTGCCGGTGCGCGGTGGGGCTGCCGGGCGAGGGGCTGGGGCAGGGGGAGCAGCCGGCGGTGCCTTGCCGCTCCCGCGGTGTCCGGGCGGCCGCAGCCCGGTCCCTCCGGTGCCGCTCGCACCCCCGGGCCGTCCGCTCCGCTCCGCGCCCGCAGGGCTCGGCGGCGGCGCGCACAAGGCTGGGCTTTTCCCCCGCCACAGAACGCCGAGATTCGCGCGGAGCAGATGCCGGTGTATGCGCCTAGCGGATCTCGCTTGGGAAGGGCTGGGGGATTTGGGGGAGGCTGCTTCCGAACCGGCACAGCCGGGAGTTAACTACCGGCTGCAGTTAAAATTTTAGCAGCAGCAACAGCTTTGCGATGCTTTCCGGGAATGCTGCTGCCTGGGAGCTGATGTTCCAGGCGGCCCGCGGTACGGGCCATCTCTCTCCTAGATGGCAGTGCTGAGAGCAGGATAGCTGCCGGTGTAGGCAATAAAGTGCTGGGAACCTGGAGTCCTGTGCAGCTGGATTTTGGTAGAGTTATGCGTGGAACGGAACAGCATTCATTTGTGCCCTGTGAGCTAATTTGCAATTAAGACAATGTTTTCCTTCAAACTTTACATACGGCTATCTTGTTATGCAATTAGGTTTTGGTGAGACTGGGATTGTTGCGTTATGTGAGAAAGGAAAAACAGATTTAGTAGGTTTAGCCTTTTGTATTGCAGCGTTATTTACAAAGTTGTTGAGGTTCAGATACAGCTCCGCTGGCTGCCACCTGATTGGCAACGATTTACAGCTGATGGTCAGGTTCTGTGTTTGTGTTAGAGCAACAAATCACAGATTCAGAAGAAATGTGGCTGCATTACCCTCTTTATTTTATTTGAAAATGTTGCATATACTGAGGAAGCAATTTTTGTATTTGATCACAATGTTTTGTTAGTCAGTTTGAGATGGTAACTTCCTTGTTGTATAAATTGTGCACTTAATCGAGTTCAAATCTCCGACAGACCCAGAGCTCATGTTGATTTCAGCACAAGTTGTGTGGTGCATGACAAGGGTGCTGAATTTTACTGTGCAGGATAGCTGAAGCAAATTTTCTCACTGCTTGCTCTACTTCCAGTTTGTTCCTTTGGAGTAGCAGAATGTAGTGATTTTTGCCAACGTTCTCATTGATATATTTGAGTTAGTGTTGTACATTTGAAGCCAAGGATAGTTCAGGGGCTCAATATGTGCCCATTGAGAGAGAAAATTTAGCCAGTTGACTTGAATGTGGATGAAATGGACATGAGTACTCTTACTCTACATTTGCAAATAATGAGTCCAAACGTTCTCAGTAGGTATGTGCAGAAAGGTAAGCACATCACGTTTGGTTGTTTTATTCCTTTTGTTATAATTGAACAGGCATTATTCTGTAGGTGTATGACACAATCTCTGTAGGATTGTGTCATTGATTTGTTAGGTTTTTTACTTCTTATTTAGCAGTACTATGGTTTAAGGGCTTTAAAATGTTTGTCACTCCACTGCAGAAATAGTTGCCAACTGGATGTCATGCATGTAAAACTAGAACAAGAGCCTTTAAATAGCAAAACCATCAATTTGGTAACAATTTAGTGTGATAAATGGCAGAAAGCACAAAAAGAATGCAAATCTGAACAATTATAGCATGCATCTTTTGGTATTAATATTGATTAAGTACAAAGCACAAAAGGCAAATAAACACATATAGCTTTTAAGTGCCTAAACTGAAATGGAAGAGCTGTTTTCTGTTATGTGGGGTTTTTTTCTGCTACATGGTTTATGCTTTAAAAAAAATTGTGGGGTGGGGGAAAGATTAGAGAAGTTTTTACAAGCATTTCTTTTGTCTTCTGGATCTCAGAATTCCATTATGTAGCAGGATGCTTTCCAGTTTCTGCTTTCTCAGTATCTGGAAAGGCAGATGTTGCTGCAGCAGGAGCAATTATACTGATTTGCAGTTGAAAAAAAAAAATCAGATCTCTGTGTCTCTGTCTGAAAAGGTCAGCCATGGTTTGGGTTTGTCAACAGAAGAGATGACAGGGAAGTTAAGTTTGTTCAGCAAAGGGCGTGAAGTAATGTACAATTAGGGAACTTGTGTTTCAGGAATGAAATTACTAAATTTCCCTAACCAACTGCACAGAAGAATTTCACTTGCTTGGCTTTCCCTCCCAATTGCCCATAAGCCAACCCTTTCTGAAAGGCAGGGAGTTTGGTTGGGTTTGGCTGGTTGATCCCTCTCTCCTGTGGAATGTTGAGTCCAAAGGAAGAAGAGTCAGTGGAGACTAGAGGCGTGTAGGCTTTTGTAGAAGAGCCTTTCTGACTTGTAGCTTTTGAAAAGGTGCACGACAGAATCCCATAACTGAGACTTTTGCTCTCACAGTTAATTTTCAGTTTCCTGCTTACCCTGTGTAGGCCACAGGAGCGTGTGACTGATGTGACCCAAGATTCAACTTATGATAACACCAGCTTCTTCTTTTAAACTGATGCTTAGAGACTTTATCTTGAGATTTCAGAGATAATATGCTTCTACTTTAGAGAATATTTGGGACTTCCTTGCAAAGAGAACATGCAAATGAAATTTAAGAACTGGAGGACTGATTTGCACTAAAGCATCTTTAGTGGAATAAGGCCAGCAGAGATGCAGAGTATGTGTGTGCTGTATGTATCCATGCTGCCACAGAGAGAGCAAGCTATGATAGTCAAGAACAGCAAGGGTTTTGAACATCTCTGGAACATCACTGTGTTTTTTATTTCATGATGGAGCTCATGTTCTTTTCAGACTCCTCTCTTAATTCTACCCAGAATTAAGACTGTCTTGATTCTACCCAGAACCAGACTGTCCTGTGATTTTGAGCAACTTTAAAGAGCTCAGTTATTATGGTAATAATCCACATCTTAGGAATCAGATTCAAGCTCCTGTGTTATAAGAGTCCTGATCTGTGACCAGCTAGAATGCCAGTAGGTAATATATTATTGGTTTGTGTCTTTTTTACTTAGTCCTTCATTGTTTAGTGACCTGCTGCATGTAACCTGACTCCTAACCTCTTTGGGGCAGGAGCAGCCTTTCCTAACTTGTTTCAGTAGGGCTCAGATCCTTGCTTGCAGCTCTAGGAGATGGATGTAATAGAAAGTATCAGTCTGGTAGCCCTGGTTTAAGGTCATGAGTAGCTGCCAAAAATATTACGTATTTTTAGGAGTTGGATCTCTAGCATAAAATTTTTATTTCTTTCTTGTTCTGCAATTCAGTATCATATTTAGTTTCATTCTGTGTTTTACTTCTGTGTGGATGGGTATAACAGCAAGACAGTGCAACTTTCTGTATTTTTATAGCAATTCTGTCCTGTGGACACAACTGCATGTGTTGACAGTAGCTCATTTTTGACACAAACTCACCCTTCAGGTATAAGCAACTTGCTTAAGTTATGGAGAGATTGTGACCTCCTTTATCTGTAAATAAATATAGATAATGTATTATAAATAAATTGTGACCTCCCTTATAATAAATAACTTTTTTATTACAGTACATAATAAAGCCACTTAGACCATCTTCTAGAAAATAATGAAATATGAGAGGCCGGGCTCAAACAGCAGTGAATGCCAGTAAGAGTGAAAACTACATGTAATATGTTTTATGTCCATGCATTTGTTTAGGATGATGACTGTCTTTGCAATCTGGTGTGTGTAAACTTGTTACCTCCAGATGGGCTGGAGTTTCCGGCAGGTTTTGAAAGCTTCAATGAGAAATTACCAATCATTGCAGTGTGCAGAGCCTGCTCCTTGCTAGTTTTGCCCACTGCCACACCCACAGCTGATATGTCACCATCTAAACTGATGTCTGTGTGGATACACCACTTCATCAAACTGTATAAGCTATGACACAGCTAGTCTTGATTATGCTGCTTTTTAAAAATCATTCCAATGTTGTAGTCTGTGTACAGCTAGAATTGTTCTGCCTCTTGATTATGTACAGATCAGGTTTCATTAGAAGTGCTGATGAGCACCCAGGACTCTGAAGGCAGCAGTTTTGTGCAAGATAAGAATGTTCCTTCAAGAAGCTGATGGAGGATAGAGTTCCTAGCAGACGCTGACAGCATAAGATGTCATTGTAGTCTAGTCTGAAATTGTATGTCTGAAGGACAGTTGGATGTCCTTGGCTTTATAAGAAGTTTTTGTACTGAAGAAACTTAATAGTGGGTTAGAAACTGCTTTCAGGAGCTGTATAGATATGTTTGTTTCTGTTCAGTTCATTATTACATTATTACAACTGGGGAGCAATTAGGTGGTTTTTTTGTTGGTTTTTTTTTTTTTTTTCTACTAGTGGGTGTGAATTGAAGCACTCTACATTAGAGGATGACATTTAATTTATCCTGGTGAACCTGTGATCTGCACCTGTCTTTTCTGAATGACTGTTTCCAGAGCTGCTTGGAAATCAAGGAAATGGATAGTGTAAGCTATATAACATAACTGGTTCCAAAGGAGTCTCTGTTTGGAAGCTGTGTGTTCCAGTGCTGTTGGTTCACTTGCAGAAGGCTCTTTGAAACCTGCAGTTGACCAAGGTCACAAAGTCCTTGATGTAATTAAATATGCAAAATATCTCATATGAATCATTGCCATACCCTTACAGAACTTTTTGTTTAATCCCTGAGCCCTTTTGCAGCACAGGCTCCTGTCAATAGGGAATGGGTTGGAAGTTGGGAGACCAGGACACTAACACTGCATGTGATGCCCTGAAATATATTCTGCAGTTGTAACCACAATATTAAATATAAA